AGACAACAATATCGACTTCTTATGGCCTATGGGAATTAAGTAATTACATATGTCTCATCAACAACTGGTATATAAAAGCCTATTCATGATCATCAATATCTGCAATTTCCTCTTCTTCTTGGACACTCTGATGGACTACATTTCCCAGCCTCCCCTGCAGATGGATATGACCATGTGACTGAGTTCTGCCCAGGGAACTAGAGGGGATATGATATGTCTGGCCTCTGCATCCTCCATGCTTGCTTCCCCTAACTTCATGCCCCCACCAACCTGTGTTGTAAGGGAGAAATAAACTTGGCTTGTCGGAGCCAAGAACCTACCCTGACTAGAGCACTAATATATAATAAACTCTCAATTAACGTTAGAGGCTCTCTGGCCTAACCTCTCTACACTTGTGTTCTCATCGATAAAATGAGGGTGATATTAGCAACTTATCCCATAAGATTGTGAAGATGGGATGAAATAATATGTAGTTTGACTTAATGGCTTAGATCCTCTTTGATCACAGTTATTTCATCTAAACACGATGTACTATAAACCAGGTCATCATCACATTTTTCTTAAAACAGAATTATCTATAATAAAGCCTCTTGAAAGTTTTAAAAGAATAACATGTGAATTTGTGGTATTGTAGGCCAGAAACCAATGAAAATGGTATCATCTAAATTCAGAATATTTCCTAAAATCCATTTGATATGGATTTCAAAACCTAAATGTATAGAATAGGATGTTTCTAATTTTAGAAGATAGTCCATTTATTTTTGACTTTTTAAATTAGGAAATATTTTAGGAAGGAGTAACTGGGGGGCTCAGTCACTTGAGCATCCAACTCTTGGTTTCAGCTCAGATCATATCTCAGGGTCATAAGATCAAGCCCTGTGGCAGGCTCTGTGCTCAGTGGGGAATCTACTTGAGATTCTCCCTCTCCCTCTGCCCCTCTGCCCTGTTTTCACACTCTCTTTCTCTCAAATTAAAAAAAAAAAAAAAAAAAAAAAAAGATGTAACAAGCACCTGTATTCCCACAACTCAGTACGGTCAAATCTTAACATTTTGCTATATTTGATTTGGATTTTTTCCTCAAGAAATAAAACGGCGGTGGGGGGTTGTTTCTAAAACACTTAGCATAGTGCTTGGCATTTGCAAGACACTCTGTAATTATCAGCAATTGTTTTTTAACATTTTATTTTGAAATAATTTTACATTTACAGAGTTATAACACTAATAGAGACATTTCTTGTATACCCACCACCCAGCTGCCTCTAATATTAGCCTCTTACGTAACTATAGCGTATATATCAAAGAGCTCAAAACTGGTGTCACACTATTAACCAAACCACAAACTTTTTTTTTTTTTTCCAGATTTCACCAGTTTTCCTATTTCTATCCTTCTTCTGTTTCAGAATCTAATCTAAAATATGATGTCGGATTTAGGTCAGCTAATTTTTAATAATTCGTTCCACACTCTGAGAGCACTGCCAACTTTTTATCCGAGATGGGGCTCTGTGCCACAGATGATGCCGGGGCCCATGGACTTGTGACAATAATCACAGCTCTCCCCTCGGGAAGCTCTCCACGTGTTGCACAAAGCCCTTTCTGTAATCCCTATGTCCTTACAATAATCTTGAATGTTGGCTCTCGTGAGTCTCATGTTACAGATGAGGAAACTGGGTTATGGAGAGACTCACCAAGGTCACACACCTCAAGTCAAGGGCAGAGATAAATTTGAGCCCAGGTAATCTGGCTCCAAAGTCATGCTCTTAACAATACCCCCGCTTCTTTCGCGAGGCTGCTCTAGAGAAGACAGGAGCAGACGCCCTATCGCAGACTTCCCAGGGCAAGCATGGCAGGCAAGAAGTCTTCCGGATGGAGATGCCAGTCTCGAGCTCAACCTCTGTTTCCTCAGACGCTCTGGGGAATGTTTGGCCTTCCTACCACGTGCCTTCTTAGGCTTCCTTTCCTCTTCTCCCTGCAGCCCAAACCTTAAAGCTCCAAGAAGGTGACCTGCTGAAACTCAAGCCCCAGGGTGTGGCTCTGTCCTAGATTCTGAGCACTCCAGCCCAGCCAGCAGGGACAGGCTGCCCACATTCATAGACCCGGATGTTGATTTAGAGACCGACTTCTGGAACCACTATTTTGGGTCCCGCTGACGGTGCATGAGCAAAAAATAGCAACAAGGGCTGAATTGTCAGGCACTGGGGGGTCCAGAGGAATTGGAGGTGGGCAGTCGGGTCTATTGGGCAGGGACTAGCTTTGTCTATTCTGGAGACTAGACGCCCCCAACCTGAGGATGAATTGAGAACAGTTTTCTATCCCCAGCTTAGAGAGCGGCCCAGCCTGTTTAGGCACCACAACACCATCCCTTCTGCAGTCCTCCAGCTACACTGTTTACCCTTGGAAAAGGCTCAGAGAGAACCTCAGGTAGCCGACAACCGGCTGGGTTAGGACAAAGTGCTGTAGGAAGGAGAGCAGATTGCTGGCTGGACAGAACTCTCCCTTTGAGGCCAGAGCCCAGAGATCCTGTATCCCTGGGGCACATTCCATCCTCATTTTATCTTCTCGGAGCCTTGGGTCATTAGATGATAAAACAGGGATGTTCATCCCTACATATCAGACAAGGCAGCGGCTGTGTGCATAGCCTATGAACTGTGGAAGAAGGAATGGGGGCACAGCCTGGGCTCAGCTCACTCAGATGGGCACCCTGACTTGGAGCTGCGTCTGCTTGGAAGAAAGAGACACCTTTTCCTGCACCAGGCCCAGCAGTGATTAAGCCTGAAAGGCTGATATGTTCCAAGGAGGCACCTTTTTTGATTCATGCAAAGGAAAAGCAACTGTCTTCTGGAAATAGACCAGATGGCAGAGAAGGGCAAGGACTGTCTGCACAAAAGGCGGAGCTGGCCCCAGAGAGCACTGGTGTGGAGTGAGGAGGAAGTGTCAAAGGCGGCCAGGGAAGAACGAGATGGACTGGGAAGAGGATGTCAGGGTGCTCCAGGGGTAAGCGTGCAGGTGGAGATCGGGGAAGAGGTGACTTCCGGGGGCAGGCCCACTCCTGGGGCCAGCAGGGATCCAGTGGCCCGGCGAACTCTGTAGAGAAGGCCTCGTGGCAGTGGGGGGCCGACCTGCACCTGTGGTTCCCACGACCCCAGAGCTTCGCCTGAGGGCAGGGTCACATGGGAGCCCCGGGGACCTTAAGACCATGGGAAGCCTGATCGGAGATAGCCACTTGAAAGATAATGACGAGGCACCAGTAAATTATGATTCAGAGTGACAGGTGACATCACAAAAGGTGGATGGACATTTTGGCAGCCTGAGGAGGAGCCCTTCTCTCAGGTTTAGAGGGTCCAGAAGGGCTTCCCAGAAGTGAGAGCTAAACTGAGACTCACAGAGACCCCGGTGAGAATGGGTGAGGGTGGTACGTTCGGGCGGTAGGATCTGAAACCTATGCAAAATACCAGAGGTAAGAGAATGCGGTGCATTCTGGAAACTGCAAGGGAATTTACCATTTCTTAATTACACGGTGTGCATGGGAACAGAATTACAAGAGATAAGGCTACAGATACAAGAAGGTTCTCAGATAATGAAGCATCTTTATACTTTATCAAGGTGTTTGTACTTAGGGAGTTGTAAGCAGAGTAGTGACGTGATTGGATTTTCGTTTTGGTAAGACTTCTGCATGGAGACCTGGATGGGCAAGGCTGGAGGCAGAGAGACCAACAGTGGGCTGCTACTGGTGATCCAAGGTCCGGGGGAGAGGTGAGGGTGACTCGAAGCTGGGTACTCACAACAAAGATGAAGCCAGGTGAGCAGACCCAAGTGGTACTGAGGAGGTAGAATCACATAGAATCACCCCTGTCTGAGAGGCAGGGGTCCAAGGCACCACCTGTCACTGACTTGAACAATATTGGCTGTCAGAACTCTTCATTCAAATGAAGAAGTATGAAGAATTCAGCCAGTGGGATGGGGCTGATGAAAAGTGCAGCTGAGTTTGAAGTTCAAGTGCAATATTCAAATAGAGGTAGGCAATGGGATACAGAGGTTTGAAACTCAGGGGAGAGAATCCGGCTGCCGCGGCGGGGGTCTAGGAGTCATTGACCTGGAGATGTGAACTGAGGCTGTGGGGGCAAGAGGATCCTCCCCGCCCCCAGCAGGGTGGGAACTCTTCAGGAGTGAAGAGGCAGCAGCGAGCAGACTGGGAGCTTTTTACATTGTTTTATTTTATTTTGTTTTTTTAAAGATTTTATTTATTTATTTGACACAGAGAGGGAGAGATCATAAGTAGGCAGAGAGGCAGGCAGAGAGAGAGAGAGAGGAGGAAGCAGGCTCCCTGCTGAGCAGAGAGCCTGATGCGGGGCTCGATTCCAGGACCCTGAGATCATGACCTGAGCCGAAGGCAGAGGCTTTAACCCACTGAGCCACCCAGGTGCCCCTTTACATTGTTTTATTAGGGCAAGAATACTAAGACACTCAGAGTGAAACGTTTTGCTGCATCATATAACCATCCTTTGCCTGAGATTTCTGGGCTGTCTCCTCCCCAGACCCTATCCTCTCAGTTAACACTTGTGTTTTCCAGATGCCTCTCACTTGAGTCAGTCCTTTTTAAAGTAAAGCATAGATGAAAATATTCAAGAGATGCGACTTGCACAGCAAAAGTTCTGATGATTGCTTTTTGCTAGGGTGGGCATGGAGAGGATGCTGACGCACTGAACATCGGTCTTGATTCCGACAACCTAGCTCTTGGCTGATGCTACAATGGAGGACAAAATGAAGAAAGGACCAGCTAATTCTCAGCACTTGTACCCTCTTCCTCCCTTTTGCACCCGAGGCAGATACCACTGATTAACCCTCACCTGCCCTCCGTCTCCACGGAGACATGACACGGACTCAGACCCTTTCTGTAGGTTGCCCTCATGCTGACTCAGAGCAGGCAAGTCTTCTGGACTCTCATGACGATCTTGGGAGTAAGACACACCCCACAAACCACCAGAAGACCTCCTGTCTTTATTATGATGAACCTTTTATTATAGAGACAGACTGAACTCTCTTTTGTATAAAGAATCTCTGGATTGGGTCAGGGAAATCCACCTGCAAAAGGTCACCACTCAGTTCTCCCTGCTTCTGCCTCAGCTAAACCCCCACTTGCTATTTATACCTCAAGGTCTTTGGAAACAGCAGAGGCTGCTGTCCCCAGGGCCAGGCTGGCTGGGTTAGGCCATGCTGGCTAGAGGGTCAGGGCTCCCGGCTGCTCACCTAGTCAGAGTCGCCCTGTCTCCCGCCCCAGTCGGTTGTCCAGAACCTGGAGCTGCCGGAGGAAGCCCGAGTTGGGGCAGATATCACGGTGGGCCTGCACCGTCTGGATGGCCTCCACCAGGGTCATGTTCTCGCAGATCATAAGGAAGGCCAGGACAACTGTAGCAGAGCGGCTCACCCCCATAGCACAGTGTACCAACACACGGCCTGCAGGAAGACACAGCCTAGTGTCAGCTACCTGCCCTTGCACTGACCACCCCACTGGGAACTGAAGATCCTTCTGCCAGCCTCAGCCCACCTGTCACAGCACCCCAGAATACTGACAGTGTTCTCACAGTCAGATGGGGCAGCTGAGGCCTAGACAGGGAAAGGGACTGGCTCAAGGTCACACAGCAAGATAACAGGGGGGATTCCCTTCTCCAGGTCCAATGTGCTTCCTCTGGAATCCTTTGCAACTCTGGCAGGGTGGGAGGGGATACTGTATTTCTGGAGTTCCCTGGATTTGTGGCAGATGACAGGGGTGTCCACCTACCTCCCCTTCCTGCCAGTTCTTTCCCTGTCCCTGTAACCGTTTGCCAAGGCCTCATCTTAGAAGGGCCTGCTCAGCCTTTGCTAGGCCCTGTACCTTCTGCCCAACACACTTATTGAGGGATATGGTTCCAGGGACAACCACACTGGATCTTAGCTACGTCTGTGATTGTTGGTCCCCTGAAGGCAACACTCACTAAATGGTAGTAGCTCATTGCTCCATGGGGTGGGAAGGTTGTTGAAGTGGTTTGTAACTCTGGACACCCAACCCAGCAATGCTACTGGAAAAAGAGCTCCAGATTTCCACCACCACCACCACCACAGCCATCACCACCCCACCCCCATCCCCCACCTCCTCATGACTTTCCCAGCAGCTCACCCTGGGGAACACTGAGGGCAGTTCGGATGTATCGAGCAACAGGTAGAAAGTAGACACTGAGGTCGAAGAAGGGGTTGTCATCAGCCTCAATGCCATAGTACTCCAAGGGCATTCCACGGTAAAACTTGGCACCTGTGTCCACTTGAAACTTGCCTGCAGCGACATTCACGACATGGGTGATGCCCAGCTGGACCAGCTTGCTCTTGTCCGTGGCTGCATATCTAGAGGGAAGGCATGGGGGAGTTGAGAGAGGGGGCAGGTCTCATCAGGTCCCCTCTGGCTGGACTTATCCCCTTCCCTCCTCTGCCATCCTCCTCCAAGTGTGAGACTGGAAAGAGTGAACAGGCCTGAGTGAAGGGGCTCCTCTAGTTGAAGTTCCAGACTCTTTTTCACTCTGGTCAAGTGCAGTTTGGCCCCATGCATCAAAAGCCTTAAAAATACACGAAATATATATGTACGTTCCCTCAGCAAGTCCCCTTCTAGGAACTTAGAGAAAAAAAATCCAAAATGTGTCTCAAAAAGTGGATCTAATAACATTCAAGATAGTGAAAAATTGGAAGAAATCACTAAATATCCTGTAACAGGAGACTGAGTGTGGTATAGCTAAATGAAATACTTGGCAACCCTTAAAATGTTACAGTTGCAGGTAAAGGAGGAAAGGTGTCTGTGCTATATTGAGAACCTGTGGAAAATGCAGGATACCATACAGAACACTGTTTAAAAATATTTTTGAAAGATGGTATGTGGTTCCATTTCAAAAGCTTTCTACCTAAAGCAGATTACAAAATGGGACTAGAAAGAGGTATCATTTTTGTAAAAAAAAAAAAAAAAAAAAAAAAAAAGTGAAAAAGGCATTTATGTACATAGATGTGTATGCATTTTTTTATTTTTTTAAAGATTTTATTTATTAATTTGACAGAGAGAGAGATCACAAGTAGGTAGAGAGGCAGGCAGAGAGAGAAGAGGAAGCAGGCTCCCTACTGAGCAGAAAGCCCAATGCGGAGCTCGATCCCAGGACGCTGAGATCATGACCTGAGCCAAAGGCAGAGGCTTTAACCCACTGAGCCACCCAGGCGCCCCAGTATGCATTTTTTTTAAAAGTCAACAAGGATTTTATTACTGGTTACCTGGTGGGGGATAGCATACTTGCCATATTATTAACAAGATACTGAACATATTTTCTAAATATTAAGGATAATTTCTAAAATCCATATATTGATCCATAGGTTTCAAATTTTAGGAAAACTTTTGGGAAAATGACTCACAATTCTTTCTTTATAACTGTACACCCTAGAGAAACCTGCGTGTGTGCCCCCAGGACCCAGGTACCATTCCTAGGATCACTGTTCACAATAGCCAAAAAGTCAAAACAACTCAAATGTCCATATACGACCAAATGGATAAACTATGGTATAGTCATACAAATGAATAGTATACAGCGATGAAAAATGAGAGAGCCACAGCTGCATAGAACATGGGTGAATCTGACAATATTGAGCAAATAAAATCAGGCACAAAATGCACACAAAATGATTCCATTCATATAGCTTTAAAAGACAAGCAAAACCACATTGTTAGGTATATGAATGTTGAAATTATAAAGAAAAGCAAGGAGATTATTTCAATACTTAGTAGTCATCTACAGGGAAGGGAGTTATGCTGAGAAGGGTCAGTTACTTTTGAGGCATAAGGAATGTCCTGTTTCTTAACATGGATGGTGAAACAGTTCATATGTCCTATATGTACTTTTCTTATGTGTGTTCTATCTCCACAGTTAAAATTAATAACATAAGGGGCGCCTGGGTGGCTCAGTGGGTTAGAGCCTCTGTCTTTGGCTCGGGTCGTGATCCCGGGATCCCGGGATCGAGCCCCGAATCAGGCTCTCTGCTCGGCGGGGAGCCTGCTTCCTCCCTCTCTCTCTGCCTGCCTCTCTGCCTACTTGTGATCTCTATCTGTCAAATAAATGAATAAAATCTTTAAAAAAATTAATAACATAAAAGGATAGGGACGTGTGGAAAGAGATGGTGGGAGGCAAAGACAGTGCCCCCTCTGCCCCTGCAAGTCTTGGGGAGAGGCTTCCCTTCTATTCCCTCCACCTCCTGCCCTGGGTTGTACTTACGCATCTCCTAGGAAGAGGTTGGGCCAGACCTCATTGACGTGGCTCAGCATGGCAGCCCGACGGACCCACAGCAAGCGCTGGAGGTAGGCCAGTGTGGGCGGCTGGTAGGGGGACCCCCGGACCGCCCCGTGGATCTTGGGCCTCCGGAGATCTTGCTTCTGCAGTGAGTCCATCCTGAAACAGAGTGGACACTGTGGTGGTTGGGGGCAGGATCCCCACCAGTGGGTCCGGCTGAAGGGGAGGCCCAGGCATGGTGCGGGGCCCAGGGGCCACTGGGATGTGGCAGGAAGGGCCTCAGCTATTTTGGATGAGGTTATTAACCAGTTCAGCCGGGGCTGAGACCTAGTTCCTTTTCCCCAGAGAACAAGGGAATCAATCCGTTGTCACTGCTGTGGAGCTGGGAAGGTCTCTCCTGCCCTTTCCAGAGGTCCCGGATATAGGAAGCTTTGCCCAAGGAGCCATTGGAGTTCCTTGTTGGTAGTAACTCCCCCTTAAGTCACTGACACTTGGGACTTTGTAGGGATGGGGACCTCAGAGGTGCACTTAGGAAGGCCCTCACACCTGGCAGCTCACCTCAGGACCCCTCCTCTGCTATTTCCAAGTCCGCTCCGGAGGTCCCTAGTCCCTCCCAGCTTCGGGTGTTTGAAGGACAGAGCCCATCTCATGAAATGGCATTTGTTAGCATCTCCATACGAAGTAAGCTGATGCCTCGTAAGAGCCTGAGGCCTCACTCAGACGAATGTTTTAAGTGATACCGAAAGCTGTGTGGCTAATAGGGAGCAAGGCTGGGGTTTCAGTCCGGTTGTGCCCCAAGCCTTCTGGCTGCCACCTCTGGGAACTCCAGAGAGGGTCACTACTCCATCTGTCTCTCCAGAGGAGCCTGGTGCTGCTGTCGCACCTCTACCTCTAGGCCCTGGGACGTTCCTCCTTACCCCCATGACTCAGGCCAGTGCTGCAGGTCAGGCCTCACCCAGGTGGGATGGCTTGTGTCAGGAGTCTGTTGTCTGAGGATGTCTGGGCCCCTGCAGAGCTGGGATGTCAGTGGCACCAGAACCTGGGGCTGGTGCGGAGCTGGGAAGGAGTGCCTATCTTGGCTAATCGTCCCTGGCCCCCTCAGCCAGTAACTAGGGAAGGTACAAACTGGGAAGAACATCTTTTCTCTTGGGTAGGCAGTGATAGGACCGGGAAGAGAAATGGGCACCCAGGAGGCCACCGGCTTGGCCAAGCTCACCCAGTGGGCAGCTGGTGGGCAGGGTGGAAGTGAAGACCCGGCTTTCCCCCTCATCTCCCACTGTCACCTCTCAGGGCAGGCTGAGTTGCCTGCCACCTACCTAGGGCATGGCCTGGGGCCAGGAATGGGGTACAGGGACGGGACTCAGCACTCAAGCGGAACCCAGCCACAGCAGATTCCACCCAGAACACAAATGCTGTGAAGTGGCTAGAATTCCAGGTCCTTCTCTTGGAGCCGGTGGGGGTGGGGTCTGAGTGCAGACCTAGGCTGCTGTGGACTGAAGTGCAATCCTTCCAAACTCCCAGGCCCCTCTCTGCTTGGCATTTCTGGGACAAAGGCCCTTGGCCCTGGAACTCCCCTTGGAAATGGGAGGCTAACTGAAGTGGTGGAAAGAGAACTTCGGAGGGAGGGAAGAGAGAGTGGCCGTAACTCATTCTGTGGCCTCCAGCAAGTCTTTGCTCCTGTCTGGGCCATGGCCTGTCTTTTTCTTGTGCGAGATCCTGGCCTTGCTTTTTTACGATTCCCTGGGTGGGGAGGGGGTATGTCTGACCTGAGAGGGAGAGCAGTGGCTGGGTTTGTGGTAACCACAGGGTAGGGAGCAGCGGAGTGTGTTGGGGCTGGGGAAAGCCCAGGCCCCAGGCTTGTCCAACAGCCAAACTCCTGTGGAGCCAAAGGCTGGGGGTGAGTGAGCCGCAGGTGGGCTTGGATGGAGGTCTGGGAAGCCAGGGAGACGTACCCCAGCCTCTGAACTTGGCGTGGGGTGTGGCCGCCACCCTGTGGCCAGTGGGCGCATTGCAGCCCAGCTGTGCCCGGGGAGCCGGCAGCCTGGGTCTGGCTGAGACACAGCGGGTCTCAGGGGCTCCTGGGAAGAGAAGGACACAGCATAGGCACCAAAGATTGGGGGCTGCTAGGCCACATCCCATATTTCAGCTTCTGAGGGGCCTTAGGTCCAAGTCTGGAGAATGGGGCCTTTTCCTTGGACTTAGGGGTATTCTTTGTTTGGTTCCACCTAGAGCCGCACACCTGAAGCTCACGGATGTACCCCCGCACTTGTCTGCTTTGTCCCGCTGGGGCCCAGCCCCCTGCCCAAGGACTCATCCTCCAAGCTCCAGACATAGCCAAGGAAGGGAAGTCTGTGGCTGCAGCAGCTCCCCTGGTTTCTGCTGCCCCCAGAGCTGGCCTGACTCCTCCCCCCACATCTCCTCCACCACCAGCCACCGCAGAGCAAAGCACGGGGCCCAGCATTTCGTAGAGACAGGCCAGGCCCGGTTCTTCTCCTCCTCCTCTCTGGCCCTCATTCTGCCTCCTTCCTGCGCCTTCTCCCTGAGCCCAACAGCTGCCTCCTTAGGCAGTGGCTTCACGGCTCCTGGGCTGCCGCTGTTTATGAGGTTAGGCCCTTGTTTTCTGTCTTTGTGTGTGTCCCTCCTCTCCATGTGGCTCTCCCCAGCCTCTCACAGGAGCTCGTGCTCCGCCACAGTGCTCTGCCACCCCACGCTGCATGCCCGTGGCCTCAGGCCAAGGCCCAGACCTCCTCAGGGCAAGGGGGCAGCCGTGGCCAGCCACCTCCTCAGCTGAACCTCCAGATGTTCCCACTGGCCTTCCCTCCTAGCCAGTCTCTCTGCTTCTCCCGCCTCCTCCCCAAGCGGATGGGACAGTGGCCAAGGACAGTGGAGGCCAGGCATCTCAGGGCAGGACATGAGGAGTCTGGCGAAGGACGCCTCGGGGCAAGTGGCCGGTGGGCAGCCGACGGTGACCGGCCAGTGGGGCTCTGCGTACAGGTTGCAGGCCTGGGAGAACAGATCTGGGCAGAGTTCTCAGGCCTGGTATTTGTGGTTCTTGCTGAGCCAGTTCCTTCACAGGCTACTGTAAGAATTTCATGAGATACTAAAAGGAAGGCCCCTTCCACAGGCGTACCTTAGGATAGATGCCCCCCCCAAAGGGTACAGCTTACTATTATTATCATTACTATTATTATTACCCTTTTAGTATAATAATAATTATTGTTATTATTTCTTCGAGCCTCAGCCATATCTTCCCACAGGACATGAGGCTTAGTCTCTGTCTCTTTGTGTCTCTTGAGGTTTGTTTCTCTGTCCAGCAATAATTGTCATTATATTCACCACTTACTAAGGATCTACTAAGCTACTAAGGTACCAGACAGAGCTAAATGCTTACATTTTCTCATTGGATCCTCACAGTGCCCTTATGAAGCAGCTAATATTATCATCCCCATTTTACAGATGAGGAAACTGAGGCTCAGAGTGATTAAGCAATATGTTCAATGTCATACGGCCAATTAGCATGGGATCCAGGACTCAAGACCACGTCTTTCTGACTCTACCTTGCTTTGTCTGTGCCTCTGTCTCTAACCCAGTCTGTCCTCCAGTCTAACCCAGTCCCTCCACAACACCCACAAGCCCAGGTGCCCTGGCCCTCATGACCCAGCATGCTCCGTGGCCCCGAGATAGGGGCACTCACCCACCTGTGGGGGTATCTGGCCCCGGCTGTGGTCTTCTCTGACGGGCACTTTGTGCTGTCTGCTTCCAGCTCCCTGTCTCCGCACACTTGATGCTGTTGCTATTTTTTGATTTGAGTTTAATTATAAAGCATGATGTGCTGCTCCCCTCTTCTGGCCTCCCCCGACACTCCCAGCTCACCCACTGGTCCCTGGCATGGTCAGTGCCAAGCCCAGCCAGGCACCTGGCCTTGCCAGGGGCAGAGGCAGCCCATAGGGGTCTGCTTGTGGTCTGGGTGTATGCATATGTTGATTGTGGGACAGGGAGAAGGAAGACCCACCAAGCTATTTTCAAAGCTCCCTTAGCCTTCAAGGGTGGTGGGAAGCATGGGCAGAAGGTTAGAGCGGGAAGGATCTTCCATGGAGGAGGACAGAAAAAAGACTAGCCCAAACCACACACAAATGGGCAGCAATGCCAACATTAGAACCCAGGCCCAGGGGTGCTTAGCTGGGAGCTGAGAACTATAGGACTAGCCCAGGATTCAGATCTAGAAGACTCGGGCTGAGGAAAGTGGGTGTACCCTTACAAAGGTGAAGGTGAGGTTCAGAGCAGGCCTTTAGACCTGCCCCAGCCTGAAGTTAGAAGCTGTGTGTCTAGAAGCCACTGTGACCTCTGTCAGACTCCTCCCTGCCCCAGAAGGCCTTCCTAACCCAGACCTCACTGTCTCTTGAGACCAGCCAGATGGTCTGTTAGGTCCTTTCCAAGGCCACTGAGGTCAGTTAGGGACCTTGGATTTGGGCCTGTTAAGATCCCTTCCTGCTCCCCAGAGACCCTCCCCATATACTCATATACTTCAGTACTCTTCTCCACTCACACTCCCAGATGCCTGAGACACACACAGACGTCTGCCTACCTGCAGCCACACCTACAAGGGGTCTCTGAAGTCTGAACTCCAGGGAGCTAGGGCTCAGCCCCTGCTGGGGTTCCCAGAGTCCTGTGGGGAGCTGGTGGAGGCAGCTGTGGCCAAGGGCTATCACAAACACCTAGAATCCCCTCCTGTTCTCCTCCCAGCCTCATAGCCCAGGGAACTTGGAGTCCTAGACAGAGGAGCCTCAGGGGTTGGCTGAGAAGGCAGAGAATTCCCACCTGAGGGGACTGAAGACAGTAGCCAACACAGAGCGCAGGCAGCAGGAGGAAGCAGATGGGATAGCATGCTCTACGGCAGACCGCACACTAGGTTCTTACCATCTTCTTGGTCTCCACCTGGACCAGAGCTTCCAGCAGCACCAACAGGGCCAGTGCCAGGGAAACAAAGTGGCCCAGCCCTGTGGCAGGGAGAAAGGACCAGCTCTGGGGGAGAGATGAGCTCCATGTTATAGGTTGGCAACCCAAGGCCCAGATCAGCTGGGACTTGTAAAGGAAGGGGCAAGACCTGCCACCTAACCTGTCTCTGCCTTGAAACCTCTGTGTAAGTTCAGGTGGGTATGGGTGCCGAGAGAGATAAACTAAATTTGGGGTCCAGAGCTCATGGGGAGACATGACCTCTCCCCATCATCTTTCAGAGTCCCTAGGTCTGCGGTGTATGGCTGCATAGGCTGCACACTGTATAACTCCTGGGGCTCCAGTTGCATCGGCTGTTTGGTGGATGGCTCCTCCAGGAACTGTGCAATGCTGCAGCCTGACTGACCTCCCCAAAGCCAGCTGCCTGATGGGAAAGAAGCTGAGGCTTGAGGTCAGGGTATTTAAGGGCTCCAGGACAAGGAAGTGGGGCAACTGGGCATAATCAGAGATCTGCTGTTCTACCAGTTTCCTGAAACCGGTTCAGAGGAGAGAGCAGGATGCCATTCCTGTCTCTTTCTTGGCTCCCCATACCTGCAGAGCTCCCCACAACAGTTTCCCACCCAGCTCAGCCCTGGGCCTAATCCCAAACCCAGCTATACCCCTGATTTCTCCCATTACACTCATCCCCAAACTCTAAACCTAGCTCTCCATCCTGCCCTAATCCCCACCCCCAAGATGTTCACCCTCCTGCCAGTGTCAGGGAGGGGGTAGAGTGCTAAACTGCTCCCCCTTAGTGGCGCTGGTTATGCATTCAGAGACAGAAACAGCTTTTGGTGGGGGGCCCAGCAGGGGGAAATTCAATCCACGCCTGGCAGGAGAAACCTGCCACTTTCCCAACTCCCAAGAGAGCCTAGGCCAGTCACCCACCCCAAGCTGGCAGACCCTCTGAGCCAGAGGGGTGGTGGGGCACACAGCCCAAGTCAGGGCTGAGGACAGATGAGGGAAGGAACAGCATGGGTAGGAGCTAGAGGTGGGCTAGGGCCAGTGGAAAGCAGCCTTGGGACTTAACTCCCCAGCCCATGGCCCTCAGCGGGGATGTGAATGAGAGGAAGGTGGGCTGTTGGAGACAGACAGGAACAGACCCAGCCTGGGCATGGTAGGAGAGGAAGGGCTGTGGACACTGTGGCTCCCTCACAATGCTGCTCCCTGCACCACGAATTACCGCAGGAAGAAACACCCCTGTCTCCTCCCAGCTGAGCTGGAGGAGAACTTTTCACAGGGCTGGTGCCAAGGAGATTGAAGCAGCACTTGGTGTGCATTTGTGGTCTGGAAGCCTGAGAAGCTGCGTGGCTGCAGGGGGAGCCCAACTCCTTCTCCTAGGCAGCTGGGGACACTGGGGCCTCCAACAGGAATGGGGAAACCTAGGGGGCAGGAGGTGTTGAGGATCTGTTCCTCATACGCAACTTAAGGACTGACTGCTAATCCTCCAAATGCCTTTGCACACGGAGCTGCCGGGCAGGGAGTCAACGGAAGCAGAAAGGAGCTGGATAGACTTTCTGGAAGACCTTTATGTCCCACAGGGATCCCGAGAATCAGAGAGGGAGCAAAGGTAGGGAGGTTCCTTCTGTGGATCTCTGAGATCAGACTGATTGGGGGAGGGCAAGTAGGGAGTGGGGTACTGGGCCCAAGACAGGGAAAGGAGGGGAAGGGAAGGGCGAGATGACAGGAGAACTGTGTATCAAGCAGGGCTCATGTGAGGAGGCCACAGGTGGTGGCAGGAGCCCCAGTTCTCCCTCCACACTGTGAGAAGGAGATGCAGGGCTGGCCTGAAAATAACTAAGCATAGAGTGACAGCTGCGGCCGCACTGGCCCCCCAGAACTATAGTTGGGTCCGGACCCCTGCCAGCCCCCACTGGCCTTCCCTGCCACGTTCCTTGTGCAGCCCTTACCTGACCTCTCACTTCCAATTGCACCCATCCTGCCCCCCACCACATGTCCTGCTCAGCCCTCACCTGGCCCCTCAGTTCCGGCCTGTGCCCCGCAGCTGCTGGTCCAGCTGGCAGAGCTGGTGGAGGAAGCCTCGGTTGGGGAAGACCCATCGGTGTTGCCTCACGGTGATCACTGCCTGGCGCAGGGACAGCTGCTGGCGCAGCATGAGGTAGGCCAGGACCAGCGTGGCCGAGCGGCTCACCCCAACCACACAGTGCACCAGGACCTTGGCTGAGGAAGACATCCTGGTGAAAGACGCTTTCCCGCCTGCTGGCCCACCCAGGAGCAGGGGTAGGGACTCACATGCCTTCCCCTGCTCCGCCTTGGGTACATCTGTAACCCTGGGCAAACTGTTCAGCCTTTATGGTTCTCAGTTTCCTGATCTGTCCAATGAGTATACCAATACCTAATCAGCGTACCCTGGGTATAGGGTCCAAACTCCTTAACGTGGCTTACAAGACCCTCCATGAGCTGGATTGGCCCCTGCTGACCCTACAGCTTCACCTCAGGCTGCCTCACTGTGACCTTCACCCTGAGGAACACTGAGTCTCCTTCAGTTCCTCAAAGCTGTGCTGGCCTCTGGCCTCCAGCCTTAGCACACGTTATGCCAACTACCTCTAAAACTTCTCCTGTTCCTGGTCTGACTAATGTCGATTACTCATCTGACCGGTTTCAGCTAAGACATCGTTTCCCTGTGTAGTCTTTCCTGACCATTCACAGCATCACCTGAATCACAGAGCAGCTCAACCTTTTTGCACATGGCCCAGTGAATCCTGTTGTAGAGGATGGGCCCCTCACTTCCCTGGTCCCCTGGATTGAACGCCCTTGCCCTGTTCCTGTTCTCCTAGATCTCTTCACATTTACCCGTTCATATGAATAGTACTCATAATTTTGACTGTCTTTCCACAAAGCATAATGACAAGTTCCATAAGAGCAGGAACTCTGCCTTGTCTAAGTGTGGATTCAGTATCTAGCTCAGTGCCTGGCACAGAATAGATAATAAACAGAGGGGACGTGAATAGGATGTCAAACAAAGAATGTCAGAGCGCTCTGGGTATCAAAAAAAGTGCAGTGAGACATAGTTTTCTTTCCTGTCAGGCAGATGAGAAACTGACATCCAGAGAGGGATACTGGCTAACGCTGGGGCAGGGATTATAGGCACTGATATTTGAGCGGAAACTGGACATCGCCCCCCATGAGTAAGCAGGATGGGATATGGGTTCAGACCCAAGTCCTACCCCCAGGTGTGCTGAGAGCACGGTGGATGAAGTCGGCGGCTGAGGAGAAGTAGGCACTGATGTCGAAACTGGGGAGGTCGTGGGCCGGTACCCCCAGGTAGCTCACACTGCTGCCGTAGAAGTCAGGGCTACCCTGACAGTAGAGGCCCCCGTGGGCTGCGTTCAGCACATGGGTAATGCCCAGCTTCCATAGCTCAAAACGGTTATTTGCCGTGGCCCTAGGAAGGGGAGGAATAGGGCTGGATCCTGGCTAAGCCACGGAGTCCAGGAAGGTGGTTTTTTCTGCCCCCCTGCTTCAGAGGGACAGAGTCATAAACGTCCAAAGGGAGCCACAAGGAACCCAGTAGGCTTGAGCCCCATCCTCAGAGCTGTCTGGTGGAAGAGTTGGTGGCATACAGGGTTATCTTTAGACCCTCTGTGCTTCCTGAGGCCATCTGCTCCTGCCTTTGCCAAGACAGGAAGGAAAGAATTGCTTCAGCCCTGGAATCCAGCTGCCCCTCCTTTCCTGCCCCATGTCTCCCCACCCACATCTGGCCCCTCCTGGCCACTACCTCATACCTGCTTCTAATTTGCAAATTCAGTGGTGACATCTTCCCTGATTCACCTTTCTCACCCACTCTGTGTCCAGAGGAGGGAGGCTGGGACCAGGAAGGGGAACTCTCTATCTATCCCATGCCATACCCGAAAGCACCATTCCCCAGGCCTCTGCCCCCTGACACACCAATTGTCCTGGATATATCAGAAGACTTCAGGATCCTCTGAGAGCGCCAGTCATCCAGGCAGGCAAAGGCCCTGCTCCCCCTGGTGGTCACATCTGATCACTGCATTGTTCCCAGCACCCTGGGGTCCTGGAGTAAGTCCCTGGCCTGGGATGTGCAGAGCAGAACTATTTCTCCTTCCACCCAGCTCCCATTGCTGATAAGGAGCCCAAGAACTGTCTCTCCTTGTCCCCCTTACCCACACCCCTTCAATCAGCTACCACTCACGCATCTCCTATGTAAAGGTTGGGCCAAACTTCATCCACGTGGCTGCAAGAAACCTTCCCTGCCCTCAGGAGCTCCTCCAGTTCCAGAACGCTGGGGCAAGGCGTGGCTTCCTCTCCCCTCAGCACTGGGACGGAGGCTTCAGCCATGGGCCAGGCCAGCCCACCCACCCCTCTGTCTCTGCGGTTACTCCTCTCTGCCTCTCCAGTGTCATTTCTCCTTCCCGGAGATTGGCAGGGACAGGTGGGACAGAAGCAAGTGACTCAGCAAGTCACAGAGGCCTCCAGAAAGAACAGGACATTTTTTCCCCCAAGTCACCCCCTTAACCTCAAACTCCATGACAATATGGAATCAGTCATATCTAGGCAAGTCACTTAAATTTCTTCCTCAGTCTCTTTATCTGTAAAGTAAGGAAAATTACATCTACCTCAAAGAAATATGAGGATTAAATGAAAGAAAGGATATTCTCTGTTTAACACATAGTAGATGCCTAAGAAACATTTGTTGAACTAATAGCCTTAAGGCCCTGAATAAGGTTATTTAGTCTGAAAACTGAGTTAAAGTGGAGATCCAGAGTGGAGAGAGGGTGGTTGGTTTCAACAATGAATGGATTTTTTAAAAAGCTCTGCAGGTCTGGGTGGGCCAAAAACTGGGTGGGAACCATATGGCTGCTGAGTGAGCTTCAGGATTATGAGGCTGAGGGGAAGTTTCCTACATTGTAGGGTCAGAGAAATGTGGAGAGGAGCACCCTTCATCTAAAGGGTGCTCACGGGGTTTGTGGGGGAAGGTTTGAACAATGGTTCTATAATGAAAATAAATGATTTCTCAAAATAGAAGGCTGAAATGGGCCGTGTATATCAAAGTGGGAAGAAGGGAAGTGAATGTTGCCTTAAACCTGAGGAGCCAAAGGGACTGTTATCAGAAACATTTTTGGGGTGGGAGGGAGATTCTCCTGCTTACAACGGCTTTTGTCCCCACAAAGGAAACTGTGAAAGGTCTATATATCTGGCCTTTTGTCAGAGCCTGTTACTGGCAGAAGAGGTAAGAAAACGTGCCTGCTCTCAGGTGACTTCGTGAAAGCCCTGATGGGATGGAAGGCATATGAGCTGCAGTGGGAAGGCTTCCAGCCGCCCCTGGTCTTGAGCCCAGCTTGAGCGTAAAGGCTACATCAGGGGATCCCGTGGGAGAAGTATGCAGTCATGTTCACCCTAGAACCTGTCTCCACCCCATCAGAGCCATCAAAGTCTGCTCTGCACTTGATAAGAAAGAAGGTCAAGGAGGGGATGGAGCCCAGGTCACAGATGGTTTGGGATTTGGCTTATGCCAATTCTAGGCCTGGGTTAGGGACTTTCTGATAATGAAGAGGAGCACAGGTTCCGAAGGTAGACAGATTTAAGTAGGAATACTGGCTTTAGAACATATTAATTGCGGTACCTCAAACAGGTTACTCAGCCCTTCTGTGTTTTAACACCCTGCAGAATTGGCACAAAGATTTTAAGTGAGACTTATATGGCTTGTGGAATAAGGACTGTCAGAAAGTAAAGGGGCAATAAATAGTAACAATGAGCATTGGATGCTGACTCTTGGGGAGATGCTGGCTCCCTCCAAAAGAATTAGGCAAGCTCTTCTTGCTCCCAAACTTCATCTACTAATCTCCTAAGCGCCCCCGCTTCTTCACCAACCCCTTATTTTCTCCCACTTTGGCCTTGGGGCTGACGCATGCGCTCTCGGGCTTCTTTGCGGCGGTTTTGCTTCCCTCGCCCATCTTGAATCCCGCGACCCTTCCGGTTTGGGCCCCGCCCCCGCCGGTAGGGCCCCGCCTCACGCCCGTAGGGCCCCGCCTCACGCCCGTAGGGCCCCGCCTCACGCCCGTAGGGCCCCTCCTCCCGAAGCAGTTCCGGTTCGGACTCCAGCGGCTGCGGGAGAGGCAGAGACGAGCGGTAGGATGCCTGCGCGCAGCCGCCACCGCCCCCGCCTCCACTCCAGCTCACCGCCCCGGGCTCCGCCTCCGCCGCTCGAGGCGCTTCACTCCGGCGAGGCCCGGAGGGCCCGGGACTCCGACGGCGATTCGGACGCCGACTCGGAGGTGGGTCAGGGGAACCCGACTCGCACCGCGGAGGTGAGCGGAAGCAATGCCTGAGGAGAGGGGAGTTTGGGGGGCGCCCGCCGCAGAGGATGAGTTGGGAGTCAGGGGCGGAGCCGGGCTGCCGAGGACTGGGGTCCGAAGGGGGCCACAGGAGACGGTTGAGGGACCCGGGAGAGTCTGCCCTAGAATAGAATCTGTGGGAAATGGAGGCTGTTGAGCCGAGGGCCTTGAGGGGGTTGAAGATAGCAGGAGGCTGAGGGGCGAGGGTAGTGGGAGACCTGAGGGAGGGGTGGCTTTGAAGAGGCAAGGGCTTGGAGGGTTTTGGAAGCCCAGTAGTGGGGGAAGCCGATTCAAGGGGTCCCGCGGGAATGCGGGGCCGGAGGAAGGGATGCTCTGGGATTTGGCGATGGGGGCGAGGGATCGGGAGCCGCCAGGTGGGTATTACAGCCTGGCGAGGGAGACGGGACGGGGTTGTGACGGAAGAGGTAGCTGACCTCAGGGTGGGTGGGTTGTCTTGCTAATTAGAAGGATTTAGGTTTGATTGGAAGAGGGAGGGGCTGTCGGATAGGAAGTCGTCTGACCTGAAGGGCCAGAAAAAGAGAAATGGGGTCAAGAAAGAAAAGGAGCCCTTGGGGATCTAATTCGAGGCTTTGGCATTTTCACAGGTGTCTTTGAAAGCGCCGAAGATCACTAGGGTAATACGCTTGGATTGTGGGGCTTTCTCGTTTGTGGACAGTGGATCCTTTTAAGAATCTGGGGCGGTGTTGAACACTGATTTGCCGGAACGGCTGGGGGAAGTAGTAAAAAGGAAGTGATGTTCGGAAAAGATAGTGAAAGGAGTGATTCTGACAATAAATATACCATTTGGGTTTCTTCTAACAGTAATGGTGTGGGTTTTTCTTTGTATTTTTTTTTTCCTTAAAGTTTACCAGACAAGTTTAGGTCTTTAAGAAAGATTTAATACGCTACCTTTAAATTTAAAAAATCAAAACAAGAATTTGGACACTTAGGGTTTACAGATACTCAGTATTGACTGGTTACACTTTGCCAACTTGAGTTGACACATTTACTACAGGGTAAAAATATGGTCAGTGCAGGTGTCTGGGTTAAAAGAGTTTATAAAACTACAGTTAAATCCTTGAACAACAGGGGTTTAGAAGCATGCAGTCGTAATCCGTTTTAACTTTTGACTCTTCAGAAACTTAGCTAATAGCCTGTTGACCAGGAGCCTTACTGATAACATAAACAGTTAACACAGTTTATATGATATGTGTATTATGTATTACATTCTTATAATAAAGTAACCTAGAGCAAAGAAGATGTTAAGAAAATCATATGGAAGAGAAAATAAGTTTACAGGACTGTACTGCATTTATTGAAAAAAAAAAATTGCATACAAGTGGACCCAAATAATTCAAACCCTGGTGTTCAAGAGTCAGCTGTCTATGTGAAATCACCACCGTCCAGCTGTACTAGCTCTTCTCTTATTCATAACTCCAGGATTGGGGTCTCTTTGAAAATTGGAGGGGTACTTCTGACAAATTTGCAGGACCAATATTAATGCAACTTTGCATATATTGTGTGAATAATATTTTAAATAGAGATCTAGAAAAATAAGAATAGAGGATGCTGTAGTAGGCAGTAAACAGAACTGGGATAGGTGGGTACATAGATACTTTTTTTTTTTTTTAAGATTTTATTTATTTATTTGACAGATCACAAGTGGGGTGGGGGAGTGTGGAGGAGGGGGTGGGAAGCAGGCTTCCTGCTAAGCAGAGAGCCAGATGTGGAGCACGATCCCAGGACCCTGAGATCATGACCTGAGCCAAAGGCAGAGACTTAACCCACTGAGCCACCCAGGCTCCCCTACATAGATAGTTTTTGTGGAAGACGTAGTAAAACAGTAATTGTGCCAAAAAAATGATGATTACAATACTTATATTCACTTTAGTAGAAAAAAAGTTAATTTCCTTTTGTAATTGTTAAATTATAACATGGCTTCAGGAAGTCTTCAACTTTAACTGTGTTTCATAAGATTACTTTTACAACTTTTTATTTGGTTATACATTTTGCAAATTTGTTGGCCATTTCAAAACAAACTTTTAATCAAGTGTTTCTTCTCTAAACAGGTATTTACTGTTTAATCTTCATGCAGTGAAAATGTACTGATTGCAAAAACTTTTAAATATTAGTTTATGTTTATAGACTGTGTCATATATTCAGATGCTCAGGGGACTGGTAATTATTTCTTTCTTTTTTTTTTTTTTTTTAAAGATTTTATTTATTTGACAGACAGAGATCACAAGTAGGCAGAGAGGGAGGAGGAAGCAGGCTCCCCATGGAGCAGAGAGCCCGATGCGGGGCTCGATCCCAGAACCCTGGGATCATGACCTGAGCCAAAGGCAGAGGCTTTAACCCACTGAGCCACCCAGGTGCCCCTGGTAATTATTTCTTCAAAGGAAAGATAAATTCTCTTTTCATTAACTGTTGTCAAAAGATTAACTCCCTTTTCTTCAACTTAATACAAATGATCTTTAGCTGGAAGTTACATAATACTATTGTTTATGTTTCTGCTTAAGGACACCAGACTGAGATTCTCTAAAGACTATGTCTTCATACTTAGCTCTAAATAAAAGTCAGCCAGAACGTGAGTGGCTCAATTGGTTAAGCAACTACCTTTGACTCAGGTCATGATCCTGGAGTCCCGGGATCGAATCCTGCATCGCATCGGGCTCCCTGCTTAGTGGGGAGTCTGCTTCTGCTTCTGCCTCTGACCCTCCCCCCCTCATGCTCTCTCTGTTTCTCTCATTCTCTCTCAAATAAACAAATAAATTAAATAAAAGCAATTAAAAATTTATGGAGTTGAACTGAAACAGAACTCTCTATTAAGGTTACATCTTAATATTACTATGAAATTAAACAAACCATTAAATGGAGTTGTGCAATTAATAGATTAGCATGCCTAATAGTTATTTTTGTTTCCCTTTGACAGTTCTCACACTTAGTTGTAAAAAAAATTCAGTTTTGTGCTTGAGCAGTTTCCTGAGACAAGGAGAAGCCATCATGACCACAATGGCAGAACGTGCAGATCTACTTAGATAAATCAGTTTTTATTTCAGTAGTACTTTCCATTCTGTAAAGACTCAAATTCACAGTGCACAGCTACTTGTAAACATTCTTTTTTTGTTAACCACCAAATTTTCACTGCTTTTTCAAAACTTTGCCGTAACTTTGCCGTAGCTGATTTAGAGACATTTTTATGGCTTTTTTTGAGAATTGAAATTTGAACATTGTTTTTGAGAAGTTCTTCTATCACTGATGTTCTAATGAATATTGTTATTTTGTCTTATAAAAATGACCATATTAATTAGATATTCTTTGAAAATTCTGACCTCCAGCCCTAATGTAATATATGATGTTAATAGTAATTCTTACTTTAATTTAGGTCTTACTGTCCTCTGAGCTTTGAGAAATCCAGAAGTTAACAAAAATTGGAGAGCATGAACCAGACTCTCTTGGAGATCAATTCACTGTTTACATGATGCCTCTGTCACTGGTTCATAATTTGTCATTTGAGTATGGGGTATGGATTTGTGACAGACTTGTTGTGTCAGTGTTCTCCCCCCCCCATATACACAGCACCATCATCACTGAACCTTAAGCCTGACCCCTACTAGCTGCCTTTGGACTTCATGCCTCTCTGTTGAAATGTTCTGTTACTTTACCGCACACTGGGTCCTCCCAGTGATAAAATCACTTCAGTACGGAATGTAACATGAATCTCTCTTGGCTCTTGCTTAGGATAGTAGAAACTGGGAAAGCTTGATTACAGTAGTTTAATTGCAGTGTTTCACCATAGAATAGTTTTTATCATATGTACCTCAAAGGCGTGTTTTGAAGTCAGTGACCTATATTTATATTTGTCTCAAATTTATATTGTGGGTTTAATTAAGCATTTGAATTGTGGCAGTGTCAAGAGAGGCAGTAATATATCTATTATCTTGATCCTTTGTTCTCTTAAAATTCTTGACAGGTAGGACATTCTAGTAGGAGATAAGAAATGAGAACCATGAATTCTACTAATTTCAGGTCTTCTTATAAGTGAAACTGTATCACTGAGTTATTGAAAATGCCTGCAAATTGGTTTTAGTTTGGAACTTTGAGACTAAATTGATGTCAGTTTCATCAGTACAATATTGTCATAAAACTAAAGCTTGCCAAAACCATACATTAAATTTGGGGTCCAAGTCCAATATATTTTTGCAATATTATAATAGATTTTGAAACCTTGAGCTAGTTTCTAATTTTCCATTACGCTGATTTGATTTGGAGGTGTAGCATATTTAAAAATAAAGATTTTACTAATCAATATCTCAGACCACTAGCCTTTCTAAATACCATTTTTTAAAATTTTTTAAAGATTTTATTTATTTATTTGACAGAGAGAGAGAAAGAAATCACAAGTAGGCAGAGAGGCAGGCAGAGAAAGGGGGAAGCAGGCTACCTGGTGAGCAGAGAGCCTGATGTGGGGCTTGATCCCTGGACCCTGGGATCATGACCTGAGCTGAAGGCAGAGGCTTAACCCACTGAGCCACCCAGGTGCCCCTCTAAATATCATTTTAGTGATTAGAATAAGAGTTAAAATTTTATATGCTTCTTTGCTGGTGTATTTCTTTGTACTGACAGGCAGCCAGATCAAGAACCCATCATTACATTTACTACTAAATTTTCATCATTGCATAAAAACTTTTACTGTAACTGAGGATTTAAACTGGACAGTGTTACCTGTTGGATTCTTACTTGCTGAGCTGCGACGTTCTGGATGTGGTATAGAATTTGATGCAACCTGCTAGTGGAAGTCTTAGTCTAAAGGCAAGTTGGAACCAGAAAAAGTTTGTGTTCTTTGGTATACATGACAACTTTTTTTTTTAACAGTATCTAAGAGTGCATGGTCCAGGCAGCAAAAAATATGTGAGAACTGAAGTACAGCATTTCTTCAAATGTGCTGCCCTAAACTCTACTGCTTTAAATGG